TTCATATTTTTGATTGGCGATGAAGCTTTTGGTCTTAACATGCACTTGCAAAAACCTTTTGGAGGAAAGCAGTTGTCTGTCAAGAAAAGAATTTTCAACTACAGACTCAGCCGTGCAAGACGTTATGTCGAGTGTACTTTTGGCATCCTGACAAATAAATGGCGAATTTTTCACCGACCACTCAACTTAAATCCTGACTTTTGTGTTTCGGTTGTTAAAGCGTGCGTGGTACTAAATAACTTTGTAAGAGTTCGAGATGGTTGTAACTATGAGGACACACTGGAGATTATTGGCTTGGAGGATACCGATATCCCACGGGATCTGAACCAAACACGAGTTGGAAGCAACAAGCAAACGCAATTCGAAATGTCCTGGCTGATTACCTTTTGACTGACGTTGGCTCTGTTCCATGGCAAATGTCTAGGATTTAAATAGGCGATATTTTTAAACCCCACTGTCACAACAAACATGGGTGCCAATACCAATTTCAAATTGGTATAAATAATACAAATTTTCAAACAACATGCAAAATATATAAGTGAGTAAATAAATAAGTGAATTATACAACTTTTTGTGTTCACCACAAGAAAATAGGAGCAACAAAATGTTCTCAGAATGTGAATGTAAAAAAATACAAGCGCAACGGTCAACTAAGTAATTCCGAGTTACAGATTTCTCAGAAGGGCGAAACTCTTTCGTCACATTATATTATTTAGAATGGTTTCACACTGAAAAGGGACACTCCAACTCTGCACGCAATCCAAGGACACGACGGACAACAATAACGGTTCGTGGGGGATGTCGATGTCACCCCAGCTGTGCCTCTTTACCACTATCTACCCAACTCGCTACGGTCTAGTGAATAGGTTCAAACTCGGACTGTAGTTCGATAATGTATATTATTTCACACCCTCCTTTTAAAAGTTGTGTTAAGTCAATAATACTTTTGTTAGGACATTTGAAGATTTAATCCTTTATTGATTATTCTCTCTTGTGGATGTATAATAACAGTTTACCATTGAACTACTAATATTAGCCATTTCTCATATTATTAGTAATTTTTTATGTTCATTGAGTTGTAAAACACTTTGTCTACCATATAAAATATTTTACTCGTCTATATTATAACTACTATTTTAATTGGTTAACTATATTGTTATGTTATACTAATAAAATTGTTTATTATTAAGAGTATTTCTTCAGGAAAAAAATGAATTTTAACAAATTGTAAATATTTCTAAGTTATGTCATCAATAAATAAATAGGCTATGTACTTTTCTATGTATCAATCGTTCCAATGTAAAAGTTTTAAAACAAATGTTTAAGTTTTGTAAAACAAAATTATCGTCAATATTACAAATAAAAAAGTTTGAACCTTAATAAAAAATTAAAAAAATTAAAAAAAAAAAATTAAAAAAAACTATATTTGGAAACAATGCATTGTTGCACTGTTATCAACCTGCGCGATGTTTACTGTTTCAATTGTTAAGTAGGCTATGCTTTATTAATTGCAAAACAATGTTAAAACGTTACAATATAATTTTAACCAATCTATCTATATATTAATAGGCAAGCATGTTTCTTTAAAACCTTTTTTCTCAGCTTGTGTGCATCGTGGGGTAAATCTGCGCATACCATTAGAAAGCAATTTTCCTGTAGGTGTGCAGAATCCCTTTATAAATTTAAATAGGCTCAAAGATAAGCACAAAAAATGAGTTTAAAAATTTGAAAAAATTAACATGGATCTTATGCGTTGCCATGCTGGTGACGAAATAACAACGAAATATAAACAGAAAATCAAAACAAATGGAAGAAACTCCAATCACATGTTTTATTTACAGTGTGAAGTGAAAATAAAGAAGTGAGTACATTACATATTTTTGGTCGAGTTTCGACCACTGGACGACCTCTCGTTTAGTATAAATAAATATGATTGTGCTTACCATATTTGTTTCGTTCACTTTCTTGCATTTCCTCAAAGGCTGGATTCAGCGCGGCACAAATTTGTCGCCAGCTGTCCCTCGTTTTGTGTTTATCTTTGTACACTTCCAGAGGCCTATCCCAAAGTTCTGGTTTCTCATGAACCAAACTAATAAGTAAATCCATATCAACATCTACCATTATGTTATGGAAAACTAAACAGACTAAAAATAACAACTAAATTATTTAAATAGCTAAACAAAAATAAATACACCACTTGTGCAACGCGCTAAAATCAAAAACAACCACCACCCTCGAGGGTTGTACCACGACTGAGGAGTGGGGGCAGTGGCAATCCGGCTGTTTCGCCGGTAAGTGTGTTCATCTCCATAAGGCACAATGCCCCGCTACCCACTGCTCCGGCGAAACTGCCGATCCGGCGTCCGGCGGACTCGCCGGTAGGTGTGTCCCTGGCCTAAGGATGCCACACACCGTTGCGAAATATATTGGAGGAATCTAAACACATCTCTAAGAACAAAGGCTAAAAGTAACACTAGTTAAATAAATACATTTTCTAATTCTTGCTACTGGAGAAATACATAAAACTGCATGTTTGTTTTGCAGGTTAGGTCTGTTATGTTAACGTACCAATATTAGAGTATCCACTGTTATTCACACAAATCGTGAGTTCTTCCTAAGTTGTCGATAGTTCTCCAATATTTCTGTTACAATTAACTGGGTAGACTTTGTTTCGTCGGGGGTTAATTTGTTCCACTTCAGGAATTGGTTGTTTTATACTGCAGCTAAATGTTTTTGCTGTCAGATTTGAATTAAATTTTGTGTTGGATGGTAACACTGTTGAGATGTTTCATGAGCAAAAACAACATTATCCCACCAATTCCAGCGATGTAGTTTCATTTTAATAAATTTGTCGACATGACACTTTTACTGCCTCAGAAGTATAAAATATTACCCTGATAGTACAAATTTTCCATCAAACATTCAAATATGGTTTAAAACATATCGCTACCTTGGAACGACAAGGTTCTAACTGACATTTGTTTAGAAATTAAGATTATTGGATAAATAAATTCCTTTCACTGAGATCTATAAACATCACTCACTTTTATTACAAAATAACATATGTTAGACAATTTCCGAATTTGACATGGTTCTAACTCTTATTTATTCATTTATTATTTTGGGTTGACAAGGTTGTAACTGCATTGGGTTTTTTTACTCTATGCCAGTCAGACAGCTGTTTGTATGATAGCCATCAGCTTCTTACTTAGAGCTTATTTTTGTTCCTTAGCCACTGTTTGTTTATTGCTGTCAGTTAGAGATGTACCAAACGATTACTTTCCAGTACCAGATACAACCGATACTGGTACAGCTGAGTACCTGATACCGAGTAGTGAGTACTTTGTACTCGCGATTACTTTTCGACACGACTCCTACCTGTGTCTGTGTACTCGCGATTCCTACTTGAGTACTTGTACCCAATTCCACTAACAACTCCCGAGTACAATGTACTACCATCAATATGGATACTTTAAAACAGTACTAGGCCAGAGGCCTACTAACCGAGTCAATTGTATAACTAGAGAATATAATATTTGTCTGCTCTATAAAACAAAAATACCGGTATGTTTTTATGAATAAGTTAAATTTATTTCTAAATCCAGGAATCGAAGTAGGCCTACGGGTTCTTTATATTATTAAACTTTTGTCGTTTAAACATGAAACAAATATTTTCTTTTTTGTCTGTAGTTTTAAAATCAAGAGAAGTGTGATTAGAAACTATCATCAGACTTTTAGACTGTACTCGATAATTGTAACACTGTTAGAGCAACAGTAGACAGTCTGAGTCAACACTTCGATACTTTTAAAGGAATCGTTTATTACTTGTACTCGTCTAGTAGGCTACTTGTACTCGTCTGGTACTTGTACTCGTCTAGTACTACCCTTAACATGGAGTACACGAGTAATCGCTAACCTCACTCGTACATCTACAAAACTAGATACTAGATACTAAAAGTAATCGCGATTACTTTGTATCTGGTACTCGACACTTTCAGTATCTAGGTACTTTTGGAATCGCGAGTACCTAGTACAAAGTAGCGACTACTGATACTTCGACCAGTGTTGCCACTTTTAGGGTAATTACCCTTTTTTAGGGTAATTTATTGGTCTTAGGGTAAAGTTTAGGGTAATGGTAGATTTAGGGTAATTTTAGGGTAAAACTAAAAGTTAGCATAACAATGGAAATTTTACTAAAAAAATGAAAAAAACTTCAAAATTTGGCAAAAAACGTTCATTACATACTATGGCCAAACCATCATATTCGATTCAACCGGTTTAAATCGATTGCTATGATGAATTTTTCATACGTTATCCTAATCGATCTTCTCAATAGTTCGGAACTATCTGTTTTAGAATGTATTTGATTCTATAACAAGTTATAGGCCTAATAAAATATGAAATATTATTCATTACTGGGTTTGATATTTAATTATGTGATTGAATTGAATTAAACTGGATTATTTTACAAATTGTTTCAAGAAATGTGGTGGTACTGTACTGTATTTTAAAGATATGATTGTCCAAAAACAGTAGTAATGGGTCGATACAGTAAAAAAATACGATAGTTCTTGATTCGATATTTTTCGTTATACACGATAGTCGATAGAGCTGATCAAAATCAACATTTTGTTCTTCTTTCGGGTGGTTTTTTTTAGAATTGAGTATAATTTTACGTTAATTGATTGATATTGGAACTTCATTTAGTATAATTAACCACCTTATGTAAGATTTATATGATTTTAACAATGTTTTATAGCATTAAACACAAATATTAACATTTAGGGTAATTTTTAGGGTAACTCAAAGTAGATTTAGGGTAATTTAGGGTAATTTTAGCCCGCCTTTAGGGTAAAATCGCAACAACGCGGTGGCAACACTGACTTCGACCCACCTCTACTGTCAGTGTTTATGTTCAGAGGTTATGTGGATACTGCTATGTTGTAGGTTACATAATATTTAATTTATTTATATTTAATGTATTTATAAATCATCAGAAAATGGAAAAACTCTCTGATAGGCACATAAAGGAGGCGCTTTCTGATGATGAAGATCTATCTGATCTATTTAGTACTGGTAGTGATTCAGATAATTTTGTTCTTTCAACAACTACTAGTGATTCTAGTGATGAAGAATTTGTTGACCTAAAGAGGTGAGTAGCCTAAACACGTATTAGTATTCTAAGCAATAAATATTTTTAGGCTAGGTAGCCTATTTGTATTTTTTTATTTTTTATTTACCTATGTTTTTAAGGTTATAACACCAACCTAATTATTATGAATAAAACATTAACTGGCTCCCACTATGTGTATTATTGTGATTATTAAATAGCCAACAGTCTATAATTAAGCTAAGAAAGGTGACTTATGGCTTTTGTTTGTTCGTAGGAAAACGAAGAGTGTGCCAAAATGTAAGAAGAGACTTAAGATTGGATGCAAAACCGTGGCCAGCAAAGATCCAGAGCCAACACATTTACAGGTTGTAATTGATATTAATAGGCCTATCCAAGAATCCGGCAATGACCCAGACGACCCATCTGAACCTCTACCTGATATGGATGAAGAACATGAGGCTATAGGGAATTTTAATGAGTAAGTTTTCATTGACATAAGCAAGCACAATCTATGTACCGTAAAACGGGGTGACTTGAGCCCAGAACGCAAGAAAAAGTTTTGAATTTTCGTTTCAGAAAACCTAAATGATTTATCAAAAGGTTTTATATATCAATTTGAAGGTTACCTAATTAGCTTTCACCACAAACGATTCCAATTATTTTAACTGTCCATTTTAATAATTATAAAAAATAACAATGTTAACACGTCCGAATCTGAATTTCATTACGTTGAAAAAAAGTTATCGGCACAATGGGTATTTGCACTTAAATGAAAATAAAACTATTTTTCACCATTTCATTATTTCCTTGACAACACAAACATTTTGAAGCATGTTTGATTATGTAATGGTTTAAGTCAGTATGACCTGGGTTTACCTTATCATGACCATGTTTGGCAGATTTTGGGGTGACTTGAGCCCACCTGTGTTTAAGTGGTAACATTTGTTTAGTAATGAAATAAGACACTTTCATTATTTCATGTGGTCTAGTAATTGGAAATGGCCAGAAAAGGTAGATGAGTGCTGGTACAGCAAAGCAGAAGTTAAAGGAAAAATAGCAGCCCCCACACCCATTACCGCCAGAGGATCTTTTGCCGTTCCAGAAGTGAGTGGCGGTTAATGGACAAAAACATAAAGTAGAACAAGTGCTTTTACTAGTGTAAATAGTGTGTAGATAAAAAACAATTTGTTATTTTTACATTTAGTTAGTCTATTAATGACTGTCCAAATGTCTATTGTGAAGTTTTCTATATCGGAGTGACGAATCGGTTCGGATTAACTAGAACGAGATATTAGCAACATTTCATTTACAGAAAAAATTATTTTTTTATATTTTCAAAGATTGCTGGTAGAATTTTTCTGATTAATCATATTCAGATCTTCAATATTTGGTAAGTAAAATTTGTTTGAATGTTTCTGTAAGTTTTTTATAAATTTATTACAGTTTCGACGAAAACTTTGTGTTTTGTTTTACACTTACTGTCATTAAACCTAAAAAAACAAGAATTTTTAATCTAAAAAAAAATACTAAAATAGTCAGCTATATATGTGGATTCAAGTCACCTCATGGGTCAGTGCAGTGGGTCTAGTGCATTAGAATAGCATTGAAATATATCAGCTGGGTTCAATGTAACGCTAGTTTCTTGTTTTGAACTAAATCCCTAGTGAGACTGATCACCTCACTAATGAAAATATAATTGGAGTGACGCGCGCCTTCAATGTTTGGATGAATATAAACAGAACTGACAGAAAATTGCCAACTCTGCCCTGAAGGCACTAATTAAAGTCCACAAACGTATTGGGCTCAGCGTGGACAGCGTTATCGATCGGTCATTTGCCGAACAGCTGATTGAAATCATGTCTGTACTGGAGTAGAGGAGCACATGGGAACGCTCGTTAACGACGAAGAGGTTAGTTGAGGAGAAGCAGAGCCAACATCGTCAAGGACCCTCAGAGCACCGACGCCGGTGGATTTTCTTGGATTCCCATTTTGGAATATTCTGAGGGTTTTTATACCGACCCACTGCTACCGGACTTGTCACTACTGTACTACGAGAGGCTACTGTTTGGACATCTCTGGACGCCGTCTTGGTGTCAGCCGCTCACGTACCGACCTGCCGCTCACGTACCGACCTGCCGCTCACGGCCTACCGCTCGCTCAACTGTTGGACAATACGTTTGCCTCAGACACCCGGTCCGGCCGGATATCTTTTGTCTTTTGGACACTGTGTATAAAGTCTACATTTGGTGAGTGACTTTACGATTATTTATCTCCTGTGCAACGGACGATTGGACAGTGGCTAGTGTATCGTCGTGGGACATCCAGGACCTACGGATCTATTTGTATATTTGTATATTGTAATATTTTGTGCTTTGTATGTTGTCTGTTATAGGTGTTCCGGTGGCCACCGTCATTATGTACCATTTTGTAGATTTAAGATGGATCCTGTTTGATTGATTATTGATTATTGATTAAGGGTTACTTATTAATTATTGCTGAATATGGATTTTGATTATTGAATTTTGATGAATATGGTAAATTGATTATTATTGATTATTGAGTGCCGATTATTGATTATTGATTGTAGATTATTGATTTTGATTATCTTTGAATATTGATTAATGGTTCCTGACTATTGATTACTAAACTTGTTTATTGATTTTGAATATTGAATATCGATTATTTTGGATTATTGATTACTGATTATTAATTAGTAAAATTTAATTCTGAAGTACTGCTATCCTATTTAGTTTGAGACTGATAATAGACTTAAATTACATTTGCTCATCTAAATTATATACAGCCGCTTGTTTAACTGTATAAACTTCAACTTGATTTGTTATCAGGGCATTCTTATCTAGAGATAAATAGAGCTTATCATACATATTTGGATTTTTATTTGACATTCCAGTTAGTTTCTATTTGGGTCGAATTAGTATAGCAAATCTTTATAGCTACTCTAGTTCTTAAGTATTTTGAGTAATTTTGGTGACAATTGAATTTAGGGATCTATCGATTAGATAAATGGTTAGGGCAATTCAAGTCAATGTAGAGTATGGTCAATTGACATCACAGGTGTTAGGTTTACCCTGCTTACCACAACTATAGGCAACACTACTGGGAGATTGGTTCCTTGTGACAATCGACAGACAACTTGCCCATATCACAAGGTGGCGCCCTTTCAATTAAATACTATCCATCGTAGTGTAACACCTCACTGGCCTAAGACACATCACACCCCGTCCCTTGAGCTAGTCTGGAGCAAACTTGTTGGCAGTTGGTCAAATTAGTCAAACTGTTACATCAAGTCACCCCGACTAACGAGGTGACTTGAGCCCACCCATATAATTTTTTTTTTAATAGTTACACTAACTTTAAAAAAATCTTATTCCACACATTTGTAGAATAGACCAAGACTAAGTTTACTGTAAAAGATTTATAAAAAAATACTTAATGGGTTTACTTTAATGAACAAACAAAGTTCAAAAGTGGGCTCAAGTCACCCCGTTTTACGGTAGGCCTACTTATCACAAAAATATTTCATTTATAATTTTAAATGTTTTAAATTAGGCTTATGGCAATTTTAATAATTAGGGACCCAAGACAACTAGCTTAAAAGGCAGATGATACGCGTCCGGTGACCTGACGTGGATTAGGTGTCCGGCAGTTACTGTCATAACCTAACCTAACTAACCAAACTAAACCAATCACATTCTAAAGCTGGGTTTTCCTAGGCGCGGAGTCGGCGAGCGGAGAGAGGAACGCGGAGAGCGGAATTGAAATTAACATGGCATTCCGCTTCGCTTCTAGGAAAGCAGTAACATTAAATTGCCTAAGACAAGTGGAGTCCGCTCTCCGCGTTCCTCTCTCCGCTCGCGACTCCGCGCCTAGGAAAACCCGGCTTAAGCAAAATCTTCGAAAAAAAGTTATTGTCACCGATGGGATTCGATCTTGATACCTTATGGACATCATCCGAGTACTCTATCCACTACCCCACGAACACTGATTGACTGCACCTCGTATCGTTGCGGTAATGGTGTTCCGGGCCCCCACAATCCGGTGACATCGCTGCCAGACGCATATCCTCTGTGATCTTAAAAAAGCTAGGCACGATCTAAATAACTGTAACAATTGTACTTTTTTTGCTTATATACCTAATATACTAAGGCTCGGCTATCGAATCAGTTTGCATTCTAACTGTTTATTTTTATTTATTTTTTCAGGCAAAGGAAGAATCAATTAGTTGAAGCTGCACAAAATATATTGATAAGGAATGATTCCACAACTGATTCTTTAGAAACGGTTGTTGTACCCGATCAACACCCTGGAGAACCTTCCGATGAATATAGTAATACAGAGGGAACAATTGCATACGACCTAGAACATGAACTCAATAGGTAGGCCTACTTGTGTAAAGCCTTCTAGACAACGCATCATAATAATATCAGCCAAATCAATTAATTTAGTTGTATAAGTTAAACTCGCCTTTGGCTCGCTCTAGCTGTTAGTCGTCATTAGTAGATTAGAGTTGTAACAAAGTTGAAACAAAGCGGGCAGTGAAACAGTCAATATTACGTAATTTAAAAAATGTTCACGAATACATTAGAGGAGGTTGGCAAGTTAATTTCAAGCTCCAAAAAAAATGCAGAAAACATTGCTTTGATAAAATTACAGAGCAGGATCGAAAAAAAATATTTGAGTCATTTTGGAAATTAGGGACACGCTCTGCTCAAAACGCATTCATTTGTGGTCTGGTAAAACAAGTAGTGCCAGAACGTCATCGACCTACCACCGGTAATAAGAATAGAAGAAGTTCTTCAAATAAGTTTTATTTGACTGTTGATGGAACAAGCAAACAGGTTTGTAAGAAGTATTTTTTAGAAACCCTTAAAATATCTGATGGGAGAATGACGAGAGCCTTACTGAAGTTAAAAATTGGCGAGCCTCCAGGAGATGATAAACGGGGTAAGAAGGTGCCTGCAAACAAAACCCCAGATGATAAAATTGCACAAGTAAGAGACCACATCACGTCTTTTCCCGCTTATGAATCTCACTATACGAGAAATCACAACCCAAACAGAAAATATTTATCTGAAAACTTGAATATACGACTTATGTACAATCTATACAAGGAACATGTTGAAAGCCAAGGGCGTCAGCCTGTTGAGGAGCATATCTATCGGAGAACCTTTAATAACGAGTTCAATCTACAATTTCACGCCCCACATAAGGACACTTGCGTCAAGTGTGATGTTTTTTCTAATAAACTAAAATACTCAACAGATGAAGAAGAAAAAAGACAACTTAAGCAAAACCACGAACTTCAATTACGAAAGGCAGAAAAAGCCCGCGATTCCATGACAGCGGATGCTGAAAAATCAGCTAACAATGAGAGCTACTATGCATTCTCGTTTGATTTGGAAAAGTCTCTCCCTTTCCCTAAATTAGTGTGTCAACAGGCCTACTACAAACGTAATATGTACGTATACAATTTAGGCTGCCACGAACTTTCGACCAAAATGGGATTCATGTATTTTTGGGACGAAGTTAATGGTTCAAAAGGTTCACAAGAAATTGCATCCTGTTTGATTAAACACATACAAACTAGAGCCCCAGCAGCCAAACATGTGGTTATGTACAGCGATACATGTGCAGGGCAAAACCGGAATTGGAAAGTTGCCATGACGTTGATGAAACATATCCAAAGTTCAGACAACAATGTAGAAATTATTGTCCAAACATTCATGCAAAGTGGACATTCATTCCTCCCTAATGACTGTGACTTTGCATCAATTGAAAACTTCAGTAAGTCTCAACAAATTTACACGCCTGACGACTGGTACAGAACTATTGCTATGTCGAGGAAAAAGAATGCCTTTCACGTGACAGTTATGACGATCGATGATTTTTTGTCAGTCGAAAATATCATAAAAAAATTCAGCAAAAGAAAGAAAGACTGTGAAGGCAATCCTGTATCGTGGCTAAAAATGCAATGGATACGCTACCAAAAGAGCGACCCATTTAAAATCTTTTTTAAGGAAACTATATCTGAGGAGATGCCATTTTCAGCTCTGGATTTCAAGCCAACCGGGAAAAAAGGAAGACCGGTTAACGTTTGCAACATTGATCAGGATAAGCTATACAAAAGCCCCCGGCCTGCTACAAAAGAAAAAAGGAAAGACATGATAGATCTGCTGCCATACATCCCTCCAATACACCACACTTATTTCCAGAGGCTTGTCACTAGCGAGAATGCTGAAGATGTTGGCCCACTTCAGGAAGAAGATGAAGAAAATGACAATAAGTAAACAACTTATTTTATTTTACAATGTTTCAATGTTACTTTACTTATTATTGTAATAAAACAGAGTTTTAATTATGATGATTTGTTTTTGTTCTAAATAACACCTTACACCCATTTACAGCACAAATGGTGTAAGTACTTTAAATCACTAAAAAATATTAAAAAATAAATAAAAAATTTTAAAAACATCAAAGTAAGTAAAATACCACCTTTTTGTGCAGTTTTATTGAAAAGAACAGTCAAAAGTACAAATACTGAATTCTGTACACAACTTGTAACAAACCCTTTAATATCTCAAAACAAGAATAATGTGACTTACACCACTTGTGCTTTAAGGGGCTCATATTTAAGGAAACTACGAATTTACAACTTGACTGCTTATTTTACATCAACAAAGAAAGTATACTGTGCACTTTGGACAGAGAAAACGGCAGGCCGAACAGGAAATGATATAGCAAGTGCTTTGGTTAAAATACATGAAACTGTGATTGAAGAGAACAATATATCAGAACTGGTAACTTGGTCGGACTCTTGTGTACCCCAGAACCGAAACTCTATAATATCAAATGCCATTTTACACTTTTTGAAAGAACATGAAGATTTGACTTCGGTAACCATGAAATACTCGTTGCCAGGTCACTCGAGTGTGCAGGAGGTTGACAATACACACAGTATTATTGAAAAAGCCATGCAGAAAACTGATTTTTATTCTCCCATCGGGCTTATCAGAATTCTCAAGTCAATCAATCCCAAGAATCCATATCGAGTTTTGCAGATGAAACCAAGTGACTTTAAAGACTATGCTGTCACTGCAAAGCTATTTAATTACAAGGAAGTGCCTTTTACTCAAGTTGCTAGTGTGAAATTGACACAATCCTACAGTGATGTGTTTTAAAAAACATCACATGATCCACTTAAGCCCGAAAACTGTTGTAACATCAAATATAATGAGACGCCGAACAGAAAAACAAAGTAAAAATCTCAACAACCACTAAATGTGTTTTCCATCAAGCCCAGTGTCAGTAGATTCTCACAAGAAATCTCCAAAGAAAAACAGAAGGATATCAAGGCAGCTTTCCCTTACATGCCTACCTTGTCATTCCAAGGTAGCGATATATCGATGTTTTTTTTTTATATTATTTAACATTTGTTAAACACGCAAACCTTAAACCTAAATTAATATTTGAGTTAGATATTTGGCAAACGTTGAATGGAGGTTTAATTTTGTTTGTTAAAATATCTAATTCTGATTTTATCTTGGATAATCATTAAACGTTTGATAAATGTTTAACTAAATGACATTTGCAGAGTTTGCTGGGTAAATTTTATTCTACCGTGGCCGCCATTTGCAATAACGTCGTGAATGTAGATGATCAGCACCAAAACTAACATATAGTAGGACATTAAAATCTTATATTCATTCTCAATGCTTGACTGCTTCACTTCACTTTCTCTTTTTACTTTAGTTCAGTTTGACAGTTTGTTCCATTCTAGTATTCCACACTGTTATAGTTCAAGTTAGTTCAAATGTTGAAATCAACTCTGCTGCTATAGACTGAGACTCGGAACTAACCTGTTGACTGTTACCTGACCTCATTTAGAATTAAGTTATTAATAAATTGGTAGCCTCTTTGGCCCACGCCTAAATAATGCAATGGGCTGTTGTGGAGTTTTTGAAAAGTGTAGAGGTGGAGGCAGTTCCTCGACACTGGATCATAAAAGATGAGGACAATCTCATGTATTTGTGGCCACCTCCTACAGTCCACGAACTGACAGACCTCAAAGCAAGGGAAGTGGACATTAGTCAACTTGAGGGAACTACAAAATACACCATTCAAACTCTCCGTGAAAACTATGATGAGTTTTGATAGACTAGGCTTAATTGGAGTATTCCTTAGACTTGACTTGAAAAACAACCCTAGGCCACCCTTTTACATAGTCCAAGGCCTAACTTAACCTTACTAACCTGTGTGTATCAACTTTGTTTAAGGGCCTAACTTACTAGCCTATTTCTTATTTTATTATGGCACCTAGAGCATTTGAAAACCTATGCATAGACTAAGTTTAGCTTATCGAGTTTTAGGCTACAGGCCTTTATTAATGTAAGGTTTTTTATAGGTTCACTTAAAATAACAGTTATGAATCTCAGAGGCCTATGCACTGTCCATTCTGGTCAGACGTTTGTTGGTCAGGTTTGACGCACACCCCTACAATAAATGTTTTTTTTTTTTAGTTTATCAGATGTCAAACATTGAGGTTTTATAAAAACTAAAAAGGATTAACTTATTTATTGTTTTAACCTGGTCCACCCCAATTCCTCATTAAGGTTAGTTTAACTAGGGGCTGCTTTCTCGCACACTACCATTAGGTGCTAAATAAAAATTATTCAATCGTATGTTTTATCGATGCTGTGATGGGTGGAATGGTTAAATGATTATGTGTTTTGTCTATTCAACACTCATATACACATAAAATACATAAAAGCAAGGTTTTCCCCAAATATTTCTCTGATCGTAATCTATTCTCATATTTTAGAACACAATACCCTGTGACCCAAGGTGTGGGTGAATAAGAAGACATCAGGAAGACCCATCATGAAGAGAAGTAACTCAGAAAGGTTACAAATTAGGCTAATTATTTATTTTTTATTTATTCATCTATGTTATACGTTTAGTTGGAGATGTATTTAGTAAAGACTTGACTTTCAAGAAGACCATCAGGGAGACCCATCATGAAGAGAAGTGTAACTCAGAAAAGTTTACGGTCATAATTAGGCTAATTATTTTATTTATTTACTATGTTATACGTTTAGTTGGAGATGTATTTTGTAAAGACTTGACTTTCAATATGCCTAAAGCCAAAACCAAGTATAAACATTTGAATGACATATCACGCCGTCACTTCAATCGTTTAGTGACCCAAGAAGGTACTAAAAAAAGTGCCTCCACTTCCAAAGTAGGCCTAATTGAAAGTAATGCAGATTCGCCAACTAACGATCATGTTTCAAAAACAACCATGTACCCAAAATATGAGTGTAAAAGGTATAACCTTAAAATGACTGATCAAAATGTTGAGTGTGAAAGTGATGTGAGTTGTGAATGTCTTTTACAAATGTCTAATGAACATGTTGAGTGCAAAAGTGGTTCGAGTAGTGAGAACGGAAGTATGATAACATATATTAAATCTGATTCGAATAATACATCCGCAGCTAGTGAAGTATATAGTTCTGGTGACAGTAACCGTGAGAGTGGTAGTAATTCAAACTTCAATGATAGATTTTCAACTGATTGAATATATAGTTCTGTTGTCGAGAATGAATATGATGGTGGTCATTTTGACTTCAATGATAGGTTTGCAGCTGGTGATGTATGCAGTTCTGGTGCGAATGGCAGTGAAAGGTGTAGTTGTTCAAACATTAGCTGTAATAATATCAATCATGGTGTATCTTTAAATAGGCCTAATGATGATATAGGTAGTAAATTGACTAATTTTAGCCCAGAATATATGTCCAAATTAGCAAACTGGGCAGTTACATTTTAAGTAAAAAACTATGCTCTTCTGGAAATCCAAAAAAGTAAACCAGGCTATGAACAACTTCCCAAAGATAGTCGCACACTATTGAGTACTCCTCGTTCAACTACAATTCGCAAAGTTAATCCCCATATTACCACTATGGTTTGGAAAATTGCCTAAAGGAATACCTTATGTCTAAAAGTACAGCAAAGCCAATAACTAATATTGAAGTATTTGTTGGTTTGATGGTCTTCCCATTTCGAACAGTGGAAGTAGTCAGATTTGGCCTATTCTTTGTTATTTCAAAAACAATTTAAATACATAGAAAAGTGTTCCAAAGTGTTTACTATTGGGATTTACCATGGCTCTTATGAAATTTACGCAATTTACGAAAACCTTACTGCTCTTATGATTTTTTTTTACGATTTCCAAAATGAAATGATGCATTTAACATCTAATGGCTTAAAAGAAAATTTCTCTAATGTAATTTTTGTAAAGCCATCTGCAATAATATGCGATGCTCCTGCCAAATCTTTTGTTTTCAAAACTAAAGGACACACAGATTTTTATTCTTGTTCTAAATTACGTTATCCACAATAAATATCCACAATTTGAGACCTCATTGTAGCAGAAAGCATTGACTTCAAGGGTGGGAAAGCTACTTTACAAATTGTCTTGAATGAAATTTCAAGTGGAGGAAAACGAAAACTAACAGAAAATTTGTGGTGAGAAATCGGATATTCGTGACAAACTTATTACTCATTTGAGAAATATTAAACGAAACAGGGAACAAAATAGGCCGATTATATTTCTCTATGAGACATATGTTCTGTCAACTCATGTGAAGACACAATCTTGGTCAGAAGATTCAAACCAAGGAGTTCGAACACGAGTGTCAAAGGGGAACCGCCTGATAATCATCCACGCTGGCGGAGAGAAAGGATTTGTCCCCAACGCGTTGACAACATGGAAGGCAACAAATCACTCTGGAGACTACCATGATAATGTTAACCAAGAAATGTTCATGAAATGGATAACTGAGAAGCTCTTGCCAAATTTGGAACCAAAGACTGTATTGGTGGTAGACAACGTACCATACCATAATGTATTAGTAGACAAATCATCAACTAATAAAAGCAAGAAACAAGATATGAAAGTAGATGTAATGCAATGAGAGTCAACCCCATGAGGCTGCGAAAATGTTTGCAGTCCGGTCTTTTCCCTACCTCAATCCTCCTCCCGCCACCAATGCCCGCACTATGCTAAGTGCCAGCTTAGATGTCACGAGCTGTACCTTTCTGAAAGAGGGCGAGGAGTACCGTCATCTCGGGATGCCAACGGGCTTCAAAGTGGACCAGAGATCAGAATTTGACATTGCCAGAATGGCCGAAGACGTGAAGAAGATAGTTGAGAGTCTTCTGGCACCCTGGGAGAAGTTGGATGTTTATACTTCCACAGCTAGACTTCATCATGAGAGAAACCACTTGAGAGAGTCCACTCAAGAAAAATTTAATTTCCACCATTGTAAAATCTTTTGAGAATAATTATTAGTTGTAATATGGAGTGGCGTCCAAAGTACAGCAAGCCTGGGCCAAGCATTCACATTTTATAAGTAGGTTGCCAGTATTCAGGTAGTTTTAAGTTATTTTGACTATTACAGAAGTGACAGTGACTTAGCATGTTAACCATAGGATTTAAGGTGGACTGCATTTTTTACCACATTTTTATTAACTTGTGCATGTAAAATTTAAAAACAGTTAAGCTCATAATGAGCATGTGGACTATATACTGCATGAGAAGATACGACCTTTTTGGCATGAATTAAAAGGGTTGCATGATGTATTATTTAAAATATTCAATAAAAAGTTGTCAATACATCATACATTATAATATAGAAGTGACGTTTAAAAGAGTTCTTGGGGACAGGCGAGATCCGTGGACGGCCATTGGTGACATAGTAAATGGGCACTTTGCTAAGTGCTACTTTCAGGTATATATAGATAATACCCTTTTGTTAGGGAGTTGGCAATAAAATAATATACAGTACCTACTTCCAATTCCTTGGATCCAACCCGTAAGATTTTGCCCGTTAAAAAGATTCTCCCTCGTTGGTTGTGTAACTTCATTCTTTATCGCTCAGTTACGAACGTTTATTTTGACGCAATTTGTTTGCATTACAGATGCAGTGCGTAAGAAGTGGAAGTATCTGAGGGATCAATTTGATGTTGAACTGGGTAAAATCAAACCCAGCCGTTCAGGTGATTCCGGTAATATCACATACGAACCTAAGTGGCCCCACTTTAAATCACTCATGTTTGAAGGACGTTGTGAAAGCTCGGCCATCATCTGGTAGCCTAAGTACAAAGAAGAAAAACAAACACGATATCAATGAATATCCCAACGTAGAGAATGTTCAATTAAATGCCCTTCAATACAACTACTAAGGTATTAATGACTTCACTTTAGTGTCCGAAACCGCCGAAGTTGACGCAGATGAACCTGAATCCAGTGCAACTAATGAACATTTTGTCGATGTCTTTCGGAAGCGAACAAAAGTACGAACAATAGCCAATTCAATGAAACAATAATTGAAATTGAACAGAAGAAAGCCAATTTTATGGAGTCTGTCCTCCAAAAGTGCCAAGATGATAATGACGATATGCTGTTCTTTCGCAGCCTTTTACCTCACGTATCCAATATTCCTGAACACTGAGATAAAACATGAATGTACTCATATGTGAATTGTAGCTAAATTAGTTTTAATATTTATTAATTACTGTATTTTCAAAAAGAATATTTAAATTTAATGAAATATAAATTAGTGAAGAAGAAAAACTATATTCAAAAATACCATTCTAAAATTAAATAGTGTCTAGGTAGGAAATATTTCTTTTGTACTGTCCAGTGTCCAGGTGTGAAGTAATTGTTGGAAGGAAAGCTAAAGAAAAGGAAGAAAATGTGCTTGTGGTGGAAGATATAGAAAGAGATGGATGTGGGAGCCAAGTCTCCAGTGATTTAAATATCCAAAATTAAAAATTAACATTCAGAATACATAAGTTATAAATATTGAATATCAAGAGACATAAAGAAAGAAGAAAATCACTATTCAACAAAATTGGTAATATCAACCTCAATTAACACTTAAAAAAACTCATCATCAATTTACAACCACCATCACACCATTGTGAATTTTGACTAAATTCAAGTGACTTTCAAATTAAGAACTTAAAGCCTAAATTTTTTTACTCTCATTATTAGCCTATCTCATATTATTTAGCCTATATTAGTACTGTATAAATTAAGTTAATTAGCCTATCAGAATTTCATACCCGGCACGAACCAATCCCTAGATTAAGATAATTTGCTCTCCAAATTGTTAACTAGCCTAGCCCATCAAAAAAAAAACCTAAACCAAAATATAATTTCACTATCTTAGCCCAATGAGATTATTGTAATAGCTATAGAACCTAAATATATTTTATTGTAACTTTATTGTAATTTTATTATCTAATTTAAGTAAATTCATATTTTGAAATTCATTAATAAAGAGGAGTAGGTTGCAACACATGAAGTTAAGATTCAGAAATTGCATACAGCAGGTTGCAGAATTTTCCTATCCATAACTGCAATTCAATTCTTTTACATCAATACAGTATGTTAGCTCACCTTCCCAAGTGTTGGTACAAGTAGATCTTACGGTACAAGGTCAGCACCTCGTTCCACCTAACAGTCTCCAAATCCGAACAACCCTGCCTTATTCCCAAAATCATATACTTGGCTAAACCAGGATGAGTCTACTTAAGTGCTTTCTTGCCCCAATAAGAGTTTTGTTTTTTTAAAGATAAGTACTATGACATGATCACTATTGGACATTTTTATAATTATTGACTATCCTACAAGAATTTTACATGCACATTTCTATTATAGCTCGGCCGCTTAGAAAACGACCTGCGCGCTAATGCTAAACCAATGCTGGAGGAGGTCGTTTTTTAAGCGGCCGAACTATAACAAGAAGTGACGATTTGTATTTAATCTCAACACTTTGTCATTTATCTTTCTCCAACCT